AATGCATCCATGTCTTCCTTTATTCTATTCAATATTACATCTACACCAGATTGACGGAGGTCTGCTGATTTAGCCATCGCAAGTAGCCTAATAGCAGCCAGCTTAGACCTGTATTTTGGATTTATATTTCCTAGGGTGTAGTACACCATTAACAACTTGTTCTTTTGATGAAAAGGATCCTAGTGGATTACAGATCTCTATTTCGTCTGTATACAGAATAATCTGCAGTGCAATTTGGTTTCTCTGAAAATAAGGGATGAGATTTTAAAAAGAGAACCATCAACAAGGTCATGAAAAAAAACCTTCACTGCACCTCTGGGGTACCTCTTCAATCATAGTCAAAATCCTCGGATGTAATAGGAACTGCTCTACACTTTTTGACTAATGGTACATAATAAAATAATTTGTCTTTGATGACAAAATCTGTTGATCCTCCACGTTTCTTCCTGCATATGGTTCGAGCAATTGGAATTTCCTCTGCATCCACACAACAAAACTGCTTCCTAATAACACTGTTCTGGCGAAATGTTGTTGAAACGTTAGCAAAGGGGTCAATGAAACTGTCAAATATATCCATTGCATCTTTCCAAGTTGATTGGTTGTACTTCCTGAATTCTTCTTTAGAACTTCCTTCATCTGCGTCCTGAGGTTGTCCAATAGTGATGATTGATACTGCTGTACCCCAGCAACAATGTCATTCATGCCTTTCTGAAAATGAGAGATTGAAAGCGATGTGATCAATCTTTGATGTTGGTAAACATTATCATGATCACTGTAGCTTTATGTGATATACAGTTTTGCTTATGACATAGACACAACAGTAAAGTGGATAACAAAGCACTAAACTGAACTCGGCCATCAGTGAACCACTATTAACTGCTAACTGTGTACAGTAGGTAGCCAAATACTGTGCTCTGGTTCTCAAGAAAACTAGGTCTAACTTAATATATGGCTACACTGTGTCTGTTATAAATTGTAATAAATATGGGAAATCCCTTACTGGGTTAGTCAGAGTGAATGGCTTGAATTTCTGGATAATAAATGCTCATTTGCATTTCTTTGTCGCACACAAAATATTTCCCTGTTAATATGTTCTGAGAAGCAGATCACACATGGGCATAATGCTTTTAGTCGAAAAAGGTTACATAGGAAGCATTTTACCTGTGACAGACGATGCTTGGATCGGGCATTGATAACAAAGGCAGTGGCATGTGTTGTCAGATCCTACAATACAAAATGTAGTAACTTGACATTTGCAGGTATAACATTACTCAATGTGACAGAAATATATAATCTTTAAATGTATGCACATCTGATGATAAAAAACTGGTGACATGTGGTGAGCAAAGATAGATAATTAATATTTGTAACTCTGACCAAAACATATCAAACATTAGTACTCCAACAAGACAATAAGCCATTCTAACTCTTTATGTGTTCATTTAGTTTTGCTAGTACAGCACATAGAAATACATCTTCACATATACCTCTATGTTTTATGAATCATTTGGTGAATTTAAATGAAATATTTCAACATAATATTGATATATAAATGATATGCTAGGCCAATATTAGCCACTACTATATCGGCCTGACCTTTATTTAGCAGCCCTTAATTTTCAGTAGATAGTCAACAACAAAGAAAACATACTTGGTGCACTGTGACAGCTCCATCTTGGTCGATGCCCATTTGCTCTTCAACTGAGTCAGGTGTGTGAAGGTTCTGATCCTCGCTGCTGGAGTCGGCTGGAAGCTGATCGGGTTGAATGTTGTCCTGTGTACAACATATCAAAGAAACAAGATTGTTTGAAATTGTAAAAAATTAAAAAATTAGCTTCACTAAAAGAGCAATTTAAATATGTAATTCCTTTCTATCTAAGATTATTTTCACATTAAACAAACTTTGGGGGTAAGAGTTATTTCAGCAACAATTATTAACTGTAAGCCGTAGCACTTTATCCATTGTCTGGGTAACACTCTTTATTACATTTTTTCAGTCCAGAAAACAAAACCATGAAACTTTTTTTTCTAATCAAATCTGAAAATCTATTTATTTTTGTTTTAAGTTTAATAGTGGGTAAAGAATTTGAGATTTATTTCTGATTTGCTAAAACTGTGAATTCAACAAATCATGTGCAGATCCTGACAGGGATGCATGCACCTTGCAGAATATTGCAGAGTGAAAAAGTGGAAAACCATAATTTTTGTGATTTACTGTTTTAGTAACTGTGGCCGAACACCAACGTAATGCATATTTTTAACGGTTTTTTCATCCCCACAAAAACACTACATAGCTAACTGCTGAATTAAAAATATATGGTTGACAGATGCCGCCTGCTTGTAGCCTAGCAGATTCATTAGTTAATGCTAAGGGATTTATAATAACTAAATGTGGCTGATCAGTATTGGCTTGATTGAAAAGTTTTGATTGAAAAGTTTATTAACAGCTTGTATATTGGGTACAGTACAGTACAGCTCAAAACATACAATTGTTAAGGGGATGCAGACCAGAGAAAGACTTTCGTCTTGTTTACATCAGGGTCCCCCATTTCCAATTCATCATGTCATTTAAGACATATAAGACATACAGATGGCTTATTTACAATTTACATACAGGTGGTTTTTTACATACAGATTGCTTATTTACAATTTTCTACAATTTTCATTTTAGATTTCGTTCTAATACATCCTAACCGGACATTTAAGACATACCAAGTCTACAGATATACAGTTAGTAACAGAGTCTAAAATGCGAGTATATACATAGATGGGGGGGGGGGGGAAGCTGTCCATTGAACGACAGGTTGAGATTTGTACCATTACCGGGGCCAGTTTTGCAATGCTCTCCCCCGAAGGTGCTCTTTAAGAGATAGCTAACGCTATCTGTAGCATCACACAATGTACGAAACTAACCCTGTATCCGAGTGGCCACGTGGCCCAAAACACTGTAGCTAACAATCTTAGCTGAATTAGCAGACGTTACTTACTTTTTGCTGCGGTCCTTGGGTTTCCTCCTGTCGGTTTTCATCTCCACGTGTGGCGTCGCCAGGTCTGGTGTCTTCAAGAAGATGTTGAAAGTGTCTTCTCTTTACATGATGGTAGAATGAGTTGTACACTCTATATTCCTCAGTGCATCCATCAATGCCACAGAGCAACCTGAAGTCAGAGCTGCGACTGTGCAGTCGATTAATATGGCTCAATAATAATTTCAGTGAAAAAGTTATAAAAACGCAGCAGATAACGCACCGCCAAAGCATCGTGAAATCTTCCAAAAGTTAACTATATTAAAACGTTTCTGCAGCAGGCCATGTACACGTTGGGGAAAATAACTAATGAAGTGGGTTTATCACATTCTCTAGCTGTATGGGGGAGGCCGGTGAGTCGTCTTCCTATATATATATATATACACGTCATAATAATGCCTGGGAATAACTTGTGGAATGATGTGCATCTAGAAACAGATGTTTGAAATGTTACCTATGACCGCATCAGTTATTAATATTCCTAATATTTGCAACATATAAAATATCTCTGTCACCCCTCTTTAAGAAATGGTACCTTCCAATGGGAACCGCGAAGAGGGTCCGTTAAGGGCGTGTGTTAGGTCAGGTGCACCTAGCTTCAGGACGTTGCTGGCTAGCTTTTCTTCAGGCAGAAGACTGAACCTCTGCAAGTGATTGAACATTAAAACTACGCCATGGATGAAAATGGAAGAGATATCACATGCTTGGATCCTATAGCAACTGCAGCATTAAAAGGTAATGTAATTTTGTATTTTATACTGCACCTCTCCAGCAAGCTTTACATTATTTGAATCGGTTGGACTTAGCTAGGCTGGCTACATATCTAGTTAACTTAGCTAATATCTACTGTAAGCTGTTAATAACTGCACAATCGACAAATCGTGGTTAACATTTTAGTTGATACTGTTTTATTGCCAGAAATAATGTCAAGAAGCAAATGAGCCTTCCACAACTGACAGTAAAGTATTTAGCATAGCCATCTTTGGCGCCCTTCTTTGTTGTACACTAGCATAGCCATCTTTGGCGCCCTTCTTTGTTGTACACTAGCATAGCCATCTTTGGCGCCCTTCTTTGTTGTACACTAGCATAGCCATCTTTAGCGCCCTTCTTTGTTGTACACTAGCATAGCCATCTTTGGCGCCCTTCTTTGTTGTACACTAGCATAGCCATCTTTAGCGCCCTTCTTTGTTGTACACTAGCATAGCCATCTTTGGCGCCCTTCTTTGTTGTACACTAGCATAGCCATCTTTGGCGCCCTTCTTTGTTGTACACTAGCATAGCCATCTTTAGCGCCCTTCTTTGTTGTACACTAGCATAGCCATCTTTGGCGCCCTTCTTTGTTGTACACTAGCATAGCCATCTTTGGCGCCCTTCTTTGTTGTAGACAGCATTTACAAATGCGTTGTTGTATGATAGTGCAGTGCAGGCTATTGAAACTACACTGTCCTTTGGATATAAGCAGGCTTGGGACGTAAATTATGCTTATTTGAATAAAGATTTCAAGGTAAAGACACTGTTTTGAAAATAAGTTTAACTGTGTTTGCTCTTAAACATCAAGATTTGTTTTATTGTACTATAAAATATGCTGAAAATGTATAACTTTTATAGCCTATGAGATTTTACACATTTGTGTTATGGATTTATCCTAACAACATGCCTCGTTTATTCATTTCCCTGGTGCATTTTCATTTGGCCAAAATAACTTTAACTCTGGATGAACCTATTGTAACAGCAATTTTTTCAATCAATTATAAGTAAGTGCAATACATTTTTTAATGTTAAAGAAAATCTTGTGAAGCCAGCCAGAAATGTACATTACTCTTTCATTTTATGTATTTAGATAAATATGTTATTAGTTGCTTTTTACCTTATTATTAACTGTGTGGTTAAATGTGTTTTCAGCTGCTAATATAAGCACAGACATGCTGCCCAGCCTCTCTAAGGAGGACTTGCGTGATCTCCTTCCCGGGCCTGAGCACTTCAGAAGAAGAAGAACCATTTGGAGACTCAATCATGATGAAAATGAGGTAATTCCAGATTCTAACATTTGAGGGACTTTAAACCGGTTACCAAGTAAGCCTTTCCTAGTCATCATGCAGTTATTTGAAGTGGAGTTTTTTGGTTGTGTTGATTTTTGTTGTTGTCACAGCGTAGTGCTCTTTTCATTGTAAATACCATTTTATATATATATATATGCATCTTTTATACAGGGCCAGGAGACAGACCTGTGTAGACCGAGTACCTCCCATGGGACTTGTGATTTCAGCCCTATTCCTACCCCCAACCTTCCTTGTTTCCCTCCTCTTCCTCCTCTTCCTCCTCCTGCCCCAACCCCTCTCCATCCCCCGTCTTTTCTCAACCCTCCTTCTCCTCTCAAAGCCCACAACCCCAACATGGTGCCAGCAGAACCGTACAGCTTCCCAGTCCACTGTATGTCTTATACACAGACACAGAATTGGAGCAATCACGAAGCACCTTTTCTGAAAAGCAGCGTGCTGGAGAAGAAGGAGACTACGTCCTTTCCAAAGATCTTCGCTGTCGATTAATCAGGAATACAGTCACAAGCATGCTTTCCATTAAAAGAGCAGCTGGGGATGACTTTAACTATCCATGCAGCCGTGAACTCACTGTAATGGCGAAGCGTCTGCTTGAGTACTACCCAATGCTTCGGGACAGATCTCAAACCAGTAGAGCTGAGTGGGTATGTCACTATTCAAGTTTTCAACTCATGGTTCAGACAAAGCACTGCAATCATTTGCCTATCAAACTGGGAGTGATGTGTTTTATCCAGTTCAATAAGAGCTCTGTGCAACTGCTTGTATGGTGTATTTTGTTTGATACAAGTTTGTTTTATGTGAGTTATAACAGAACCTGTTGTATGTCTGTCTTGTAAGGAAACTGTGAAAAAGCAGCTTTTGAAAAGGGTCCAGAATGTGACAACCCCCAAAAAGAAGCAGGGTTCAACTCCTTCAAGAAAGAGGCCTAGGAGTTTAAGCTTTCAAAGCAGCCATGAGACGTACACTGATGAGACTGATGAATCCACCGCATCAACCTTGATCTTGGAGAGATCACCACCATCTCGATGCAGCACCCCGGAGGCTGAACAGTTATGTGGTAAGTACATAAATTGAAATAGTAGATAGTTAAATCTCTTCAAGAAAATTTAATAATATCAATAAGTTATTTTAGAACCCTTTTTTATTCAAGATTACTCATCTATGTTTGCCCTGTGTCAGTCACTATGGCTGTTTGTGTGTTAATGTCTCATTTCAACTTTAACATCAGAAATGAAAATAGTGGGGTTTATGTTTTCTAGCATCAGAAACGGAGAGCCCACAGACCCAGGCGAGACACTATAAGACTCTACAGGCGATGTATAAAACTAAGGCCAGACCGAACAAGATGGATGTTGCTCAGCTCCTGGACCTCGAAATCCAAGCGAGAAGGGCCTTCATTGACTCTGATGTTACAAAGGAGCAGGACAGGCCTTCCAAGATTCTTAAAGCTTATCCTTGCTTTGGAGAACTGGATCATGTAAGCAAATGTTGTACAACTATGCTTCCTAATTCAGATAACGTTAGACCAAATTTGAAATGAGAAATGGTGTGACAATTAAATCAGATCTGTCTCATTATTTATAAATGAATGACTCAAATATGCTTATTGAATACAAATATTTATTCTGCATAGATATATAAAAACCCTCCACTTATTTAAAAATAACTAATTTCACAAATGTGCTTCTGATACACACAACATTATTTTGTTAGTATTATTGGTCCACAATACGTATTTAAAAATAGTGTGTGCATAAGACATACATTTGCAAAAAAACACATGTTTCTATGTGCATATTTTTGTTAAGTGACCATTTAAATCACATTATACACATATTAATCTTTTTTTGGAAATGCAGTTATGAGACGAATTACTAACCTTTGGAATGTAGATTTTAATATTTCTTCTACATATTTTCTCTCTCGTTGTTTTAGCTAATGGATGAACTACGGCGGGTCCTCAATCAAGGCAACTCCCACTTCTTAACGGAACTTAAGACCCGGTGGGGGACCTTTTGTGAGAGGGCACAGTTTTATGGAGTTTTCAAAAAGCTCATGAGGCCTCCGCAGCTTGACAAAGGTGATTATTATCTCTGACCATGTCTGTTTATTAACTGACTGCAGGAAACGGAATGACACTTTTTTTTTCAACAGTAAAGCACTCAATTGCCATGATGAAGGCTTTACCAGAGATGTTCCCATCACCTATGGCCCCACCCAAGAAGTTAAGGCACGCAAGTGAGGCTGTGCTCCACGTCCTTGAGGTAAGAAAATGTATAAGAATTTTCTCATGTCGATACAAAGAGTGAAATGTTGTGATCATATTTGTTTCCCTTTTTGTGACGATTTCTTTGTCTGTTTTTGTGTCAGTCTGCAGAAGACCCAAACACCTTTCTTCAGACACGACCACTTTCCAGCCCTGTTGTCATCATCTGCGAAACCAACTGTATACTGGCCATTGGAACCATGCCCGTGCTCATCTTCCCAAAAGAGGACATTCATGAAAGCGTGATGTATCTCATGGCATGTTATTACACCTTTCACCTCACCTATCCTAAGTGCATTGCAACACTCCTGTCTGTGGTGCAGACAGAAGTCCTCTTGGACGCCATTCACGACCGTGACATGACTACTTCATACAAAAAGGCTATGGCCGACTGGAAAAAGTTCATAAGTGATTAGGGCACTTATATATGAGGGGCCGCTAGGGACAATATTCAGAAATACCGTTCACTTACACATGTGAAACACTCTCACACACACAACTGAAACCAAAATAATTTACAAACATATGTAAAAATCTCTCATATACACATATGAAACGCTCTCACACACATGACATCCAAAGTTATTCACATATGAAACGCACTCACACACGTGAAACGTACTCACACACACACCTGAAATGCACTCGCATACACCTGAAACGCCCTCACACACACACACACATGTGAAACGCTCTTACACACACATGAAACGCACTCATATACACATTAAATGCGATTTCAATATGTTGTGTGAGAGGGATTTCAGTTGAAACGGAAGGCATCTCGCCTTTTAGAAATGTGCGCTTCTTCGCAGTTTTTTTTTTTTTAAACGACTTCCTTTTCAACCGAGATGCCTTCAGATTCAACTGAAATCCCTCTCACACAACATACTGAAATTGCATTTCATGTGTATATGAGTGCATTTCATGTGTGAGAGCGTTTCATATCTGTGGGAGAGCGTTTCGTGTGTGAGAGAGTTTCAGGTGTGAGTGCGTGCGTTTCACATGTGTGTGTGAATAACTTTGGATGTCATGTGTGTGAGAGCGTTTCATATGTGTATATGAGAGATTTTTAGATATGTTTGTAAATTATTTTGGTTTCAGTTGTGTGTGTGTGAGAGTGTTTCACATGTGTAAGTGAACGGTATTTCTGAATAATGTCCCTAGCGGCCCCTCATACTTATAGTCCTATTGAAAATTGTTCGCTGAGTCAAAAGTGTCATGAGATTTCACTTGTGTTGTATTTTACAGTGAAAGAATGTTCTCTTTTTTTCTAAAGACATATCTGATGACTGACCTTTACTACGCAGTTTGAAAACAATAAAAACATTAAAAGAAATCATTTGAGACTCATTTTTCTTTAAGCAAGCAGTCAAAGTTTATATCTTGATAGGATTAAAGATTTTTGAAGGTTTTGTCTCTACGTTTCTTGGTATTTAGCCTTATTTTAAGAATAGCACCGAATGCTGAATTTAAGTAGATTTTTCTACATATTAAGAAAATAATTCTTAAATCTTATCTTGTATCTAGACAAATATACCTGTTTAAAGTGAAGCTGCACTGGATTTAAGAAATGTTGCCTAACATAAAATAGAATTTTGGGACAATAGCAGTAGAATATGCTGAATTCAAGCACATTTTCCTTATAATAAGATTATATTCCTTCCTTGCATCAATTCAAATGTACTTATTTTTGGTTTAAAAACACTCGTTTTAAGATATATGTAGATATTTTTAGGCTAGATATATTTACTTGTTTTAAGAAGGTCTTGGCAAGTGAATTTTTCTTGTTCTGTTGGCAGATAATTTTTCTTATATTAAGTAATATATTACTCATTTTATTATTTATTTTACTTGTTTTTTTAGGCTTAGTTTTTGCAGTGTAGTAATTCATCATGTCGGAATTTCTTGAGCCAAATGTACAAAGACATCTGACACAAAATGTAATTACTGCAATTACGGCTATTTCAGCCAATACAACATTTCCACAATCTCATCTGAAATATCAACAAGTATCATTGAAATGCGTATTAAATAAATAAAAACCGTGTTGTTTCAATTTTCCAAAATAAAGTTTATTTTTCCTCTACATTTAAGGTGAATTCTAAATATGAACCAAATATACCAAGAGTCACAATATGTCAAAGCCAGACATTTAATTATATAATAGCCCACTATATATGTACAGTTGAAATAATACAGATAACATATTCACACCAATTAAACAATTAAACAAATGCTAAATAACTTCAATATGAAGTGGGGTTCAGAGATGATCAGGATATTCAAGAAACAGTTAACAAACAGAAAATGATTAAAGAATATTTTGTTAGAGATTGAAGAACATTGTTAGAGCAGCTTACGAAATAATAAGTCATGAAATGTGAAATTCAGTCATTTACACTATATAAAAGGAGAAATGATTGTGTGAAGTCAAACAGCTAATCGTAAATACAGCATGGCCCTTTTTCAATTGTTGCCACATTATATACACATCCAGTCTCTTTTAGGCAGCTTTTTGGACAGGAATAAAGACATTGTGTCCTAGCATTGCAAACTCTTATGTATAATGTCACCTATTTGTTCTGTCCCTTTCAAACATACATTGAATTTGAGATGGTCAGGTACTGGAATAGCACATACACTTTGAATAGTACAGTACGGTAAATCCAGGGAAATGTTCTTAACAGCAAATATATAAGAAACACATTGTAAACATGTATAGGAGCACATTTCAAGATTGTTAGGGCTTTAGACATTAGTCTGGTATATACAAAATATTACAACTATAACAACACATCCAAAGCAGCTCCAAATATAATTTCTGGCTGAAAGTGTCCCTCTCTATGGTTGTTGCTGGTATTGTCCCTCTGTGGCGGTGTAGAAGTCGTCCAGGACACTCTGCAGGTACTCGAAGGTGGGCCTGTCTTCAGGTTTGTGCTTCCAGCAGGACGTCATGATGGCGTAGAGCTCGTCAGGACAGCTGTCAGGCTGAGGCATCCTGTAGCCGCGCTGCACCGAGGAAATCACCTCTCCTTTGGTCATACCTGAGGAGAACACAGGCAGGCATGCAGGTGAGAATCTAGGATTGTTTAGAGCAGGGGTGTCCCAACTACGGCCCGGGGGCCAACTGCGGTCCGTTGTCCATTTTAAATTGGCCCTCAGCTAATTGTAAAAGCATAATGGAATATGGCCCACATCTGAAACTTGTGCTTTTCTTATATTGCACTTCTTAAATATATATGTATATGACACAGTAGTATTCGTGTGTTCATGTAACCAATTTTCAAATAAATTCAGTCAATTAAAGTTGAAAACATTTTCTAACAAATCTTAGTTGATAAAAAAACGCCCAATAACTTACTTACATATCAAGTTTCAAATATACCTTTCCTCTTTCCCCTTATTATAAGCAATCTGAGGCTTCTGTTTTAAGAGATGAGTTGTCAACACTTTTTGTAACTAAATAAATGAAACCCGATGGAAAGCTGTGATGTAGGCGTTTTTTTCTCTTTAAGCATTTCAATTATCAAGAATAATTTACCTACATTTGATTGATTTTGCTAACTTATAACTTAACTTATGAGGCAATAAACCTCACCTCTGGTGGGGGGCCCAACCCTTTATATGCTTTTCTGTATGTGGCCTTCAGTGAAAAAAGTTTGGACACCCCTGGTTTAGAGGGACAACACACATACTCTATATAGCCACGTAGTCATTAGCTTGAGTAAAGAATCACCAGTAGAGGACGGTAGATATTCAAAACACAATGACTCCAGTATTGTGGAAACCTCTTTTACTGTAGTCACCACGTTTGTCTTAGTCAAATTGTTCGTTATAAGTAAAGCTACGCAAGTTATTTAATGGTATTTTGTGCATTATTCAAAGATCATAACACTGTAGTTTAAAAAAAATTCAAATAATATAAGTAGTACAAATAGGCTACTTAGGTTTTTTTTTTTACCTGGGTAGGGGCATTTCCCGTATGTTATAATCTCATAGAGCAGAACTCCGAAGGACCAGATGTCTGACTTGATGGTGAAGGATCCGTAGTTGATGGCCTCTGGAGCCGTCCACTTGATGGGGAATTTGGCTCCTGAGCATGACATGGTAAAAAACATTAAATATGCCGTTCATTTAGTATCTAACAAAACCAGCTGCTTGACATGATCATTGGCTCAGTGGCTTTTGTGCTACCATGAACATACTGTAGGAGAAAATCAAACTCTTCAAAACCATTGACCATTAATCCAGTAAGACAACTTTGGGAAGATTAAATTGTATCTTTTTAATCTTCCATAAACCAATCATTACTGAATTTTCTATGAAAATTGTTGTTACAAAATGCAAAACACATGAAGTTACACTATCAATGTGTGTAAAATCGTTTTTTGCAGATAAGTGCATAAGATGTCACTGAAATAAAATTTTTTTGAAATGCCAAATGATTTGCTCTCATCATAATTGCTTTTGCCATTAGTTGTTTACATCTGAAAATGTTTTAACCTTACTGCACTGATCAGCTTAGTGATAGACAGTCATAGCCTACTAGGCCAAGGAGTTGGTAGAGTATGGCCATAAAACTGCAAATCTATGCTAAAGGTCACAACTAATAAACGCCATTAATTCTGCTTACAGTAAAAGCCTGTGAATGGTGGCTCTTGTATGTTCAGGAAACTGACACTGAAAAACATTAAATATGCCGTTCATTTAGTATCTAAATTCAAATCAAATTCATCTGCTGAATGGAAAAAAACTCCATATTTCCACGTGTATGACCCATACTGCAATGGAATATGTAAATGAAGGTCAGAATAAAAACCTGCGTTTATTTGTAATGTTCCTATGAAGGGAGTTTCAGTGTTTCCTGGTTCCAGGTCAGTAATCATCAGGTTTATGATGACACATAGATACATTTTCACACACTAGACTGGTGTTAGTATGAAAGGAGAAAGAATGGTTTAAACCTATGTTGGTCACTGAGTGGTTTATTTTAGCTTGAAAAAGTAGAGGAACTGGCAACTGAAACCAAAAGTCTGGCTCTTGAAACACACATAGTTCATCAATTCTACTTCGATTTTTATTTTAGGTTTTTCAAAAGTATCCCCCTGGGAGTCAGCTAAATACTGAAAAATAACAATGGACATTCAAACAGAAAAAGTATACCCTCTCTGGCAGAGTATTCGTCGTCCTCTATAACTCTTGCCAGTCCAAAGTCAGCGATTTTGCAGAGCAGACTCTCTGACACCAGGACATTGGCTGCTCTCAGGTCTCTGTGGATATATTTCTTATCCTCTATATACGCCATGCCCTCTGACAGATCACTGCGGTCAAACCTCCACCTTCAGCCACCTGAAGAAGACCACTCCCCCTGAAGATCCCCACAGAAAGCTGTGGCCAAACCTCCACCTACAGCCTCTATAAGGAAACCTGCACAGATGTTATCCTACTGCCATGTGGAGACCTGAGTGGAACAGCAAGGACCAGAGAAACACACGCAGATATAGTCCTTCAGTTAATATGCAAACATATTTCTGTGTTATTAAAGCTGGCTCTCTGTTTACATTCTGTTCACTTGTTCTTCTTCTCACAGGTGTTTTCAAACGTTGTGAAAGACTGAGCTCACACTCCTCAACATGAACCTGACTGACTGTGATGATGCCTTCATGAAACGAGAGAGCTCCACTGTACGTACAGTATAGCAGTATGAGATTTCTTAACAACACTCTGAGTGTATTGGGATTTTTAATGGAAGTTCGGTGATGAATTATATTTGAATGCAACACCTTACACTTCCAGATCTACCAGGAGCTGCTTCAGGGCCCTGAGGACAACTCCTTTTACAACAGCTCTGTTCCAGAGATGCTTCCTCCTCCTCCACATCCTCCACCTTCACCACCCCTCCTGCTCATCGCCAGAACTAAGAGTGCCCCACCCCATCTCAGCAACCACCACCAGTTTCTCCTGCAGCCACCGCCTAAGAGGAAGAGACGTAAAGAAAAAAGGAAAGGTAAAGGCGAGGCAGCGGAAGACGGTGCCCCTCAACACAAAATCCCCCACATGGCGGTGGATCTGCAAGAAACGCCAGATGAGAAGCAAGGGGCCGAGTCATCCTCAGAAAAAGGGTCTCTAATGGACACCCAACAGAATGAACGAGAGAAAACAGACATCGAGGGGAACGGAGTGAGCCAAGACAACACACTTGAAATAACACCCACTACTGATGACAACGCAAAAACCAACACAAATGGTGGTGAAGAAAGCAGAACAAAAGATGGAGGAAGTGAAAAATTAAGCGAGAGATCGTCCAAGACTGAGCAGAAGAAGAACGCCGACTCAGGATCGCACCGTGCCGGGTTCGACGCCTTTATGACGGGATACATTTTTGCCCATTCATGTACCCTGAACAAGAAGAAAGGAGTGGAAGCTGTAGGGAAGGAGGAGGAAGAGGAGTCCTGGGTTCCTTCGTGTCTCAATAAGGTCTACCTCAGCGGTAAATCTGCTCCTCTCAACGTGGTTAAAAGCACCTTCTCCAAATCATCCAAGGCCCATGTGGCGAAGATGGAGATGGTTTGGGGAAAGAAAGTGTAGTGTCCACACTTGAACACAGTATTTAAGTGTTTATATTAGGGCTGCAACTAATTATTATTTTAATTAGTAATCTGCAGATTACTTTTACGATAAACTGTTTGTTCAATAAATTGTCCAAAAATAATAAAAAAGGAACAACCTCAAAAGACTCAAAGTCCAAGTGATTCAATGTTTTGTTGAGTCCAAACCTATGGTCCAAACCCAAAGATGTTGACTTTAATATAATATTTAACAGAGAAAAGCCAAGATCTAAAAACTGCATTTTCTGGCATTTTTTCCATGGATAATTACTTAAAGGATACATCAATAATCAAAGAAGTTGGTATTTTTTTCTCTGGATGCACCTATTGATTGGTCAATTACTAGTTACAACTCCAATGTACATGTGCAGGTTCAATATCAATAATTGTTTAGCCTGCCAACAGTTTGGCTCAACTATTTGATGGACAGTGCTGAACCCCAGAGGGATGGGTAGATCCCCTTCCTCTGTCACTATGAGGTTGACCATTTCTGTTTTTAGTGACACATTTTGACAATTATTGAATAGATTGGCTTGGAATTTGGTCCATGCCCCCCCCCCCTCCCTCAGGATGGATGGATTTAAAAGAGTAATCCCTAACTAGGGAACCAGGATTTTGTGTTGATTTTTATTTGCCATGTTTTAAGAATGATGGAATAGGGGGTCAGTTTGCTTGTGGAACAACCTTTCAGTCTGGCAGTGTTGAAATGTAAGTCTGTTTCTCATGCTCTATACTGTTTTTATTTCTTTGTAAGACTTTTGTACATTTGTACCTACTATTAATAGTATTAAAGACGGTAATAAAGTGCAATTCAGTGGCAGCTGTTTTGATCAAGCCAGGTATTGTTTCTTAAGTTTCTCTGGAAAGAGCCAGATTCTTGATTTGCATTCATTCTTCATTTTTAGATGTTTGTATAATTACCTTTTACAGGAGTTACCTTTTGAAAAAATAAATGTATGCTCTTTAAAAATGATCATTGTCTTTATTTCATTATTTACTTAGTGGTTTTATCTTGAAGGATGATTAAAACAAAATGCCATAATATAACCCCTTGCTATAACCAGCACATCATTTTTGTAATCGACTGTCCATGGAAGTAATAGTTAATATATCAGCAGTGTGGCACCAATTGTACCACACTCACAAGTTGACATCCCATTTTAAATACGTTTTTAAAACGTTTTTGTTTGTAGATACATTCATTTTTATTGTGAACTACAAGATTGATAATCATTTTATTTTTTAAATGTTTGCAAACTGACTACAGTGAAAGTTGGTGTATAGCTCCTTCACAGGATAAACCATTTGGTCTTTAGTAACTCAGCCTGTCCTCTGGCGCCACCCTCTGGACACATATTTTCTTGTTTCTGTTTGTGTGATGGAGAAGGAATTACATTTGTTTGTTGTTACAAATACTTTCAGTTGAAACAGATTCCTGGTGACAACATTGTTTGGAAGTAGTTCAGCTTGAACACATCACTGAGGGTAAAGTATGTCACAGAACACAGGATTATTTAATAGAGGTGTTTTCATTGAATTCAATATCAAAGCAATCACGTGTATATAATGGGGTGCTAGGTGTTGACCGCTGTGGATCACACTGGTTGTGTTGTTCTTGTTGTCTCCTGTCCCACTTCAGGAAGGCCATACACCCAGGAAGAGCCCTGCCCTGTGATATCAAAAAAAGGCAATGTACAGAGATTAAATTAGTGTAAATCTTCACATGAAACTTTTGTCAAAAAAACAATCATGAAAGAGACAAACTCTGTCTTTAATGTTCTACTTAACAAAACACAGGTCCTTGTGTCCAGTTGCCACAGTATGGTTCACTCAGAGGAAAATATAAACAAAGTCTAGTTTATATTTTACATGATGATTGCAATGAAATCACAGCACGTAAGCATTTATATATTTATAGTTAAACACGTTTTATATCAGACACTGGAAGCATTCAGATCTGTAAATTCATATGAAGACATGGACTTCATCTCAGGCTGATTGTACTTTACATTTGAGATCAGATGTTTCATTAGCTCAACTTGCTGTATTTGAGTAATGATCAGACCAACAACAACATCAACAGGTACGTAGGCCAACCACTAATAGTTCAATAACAAGTGTTTTCATAATTTCTTTCCATAGAGGTTTCGTCTTTAGGTTAAAGATAACGATAAACCATGTATTGATATTTGTCTCTGCTGCACATTGTGATTTATCTCTAAGCTAGCAAACTGAAAGCTGCGTGTTATACATTTCCAGTTTAATACCAGTTATATATCTACAGATTCAATATTTATGTTTACAAAATGGACGTAGAGGATTCCATGGTTGCTATGGTTTGACGCAGGACTAGCGTCAATATCGGATCAATATTTAAACCATAACAACCTGAAAACTACCTGAAGACGGTCACGAAAATATTTTCTCCGCTTTCACTCGACGATTCTGCCAAATTATCGCTTCTTCTCAAGTCTTTTTACATCCCGACAAGAGTCAGAGAACCCCTGAGAGTTATTACAGCGAGAAAACACACTTTAATTATGGAAAATGTAAGATTTCATAACGTTGAAAGTCCCCGTTGTTTCCAATGTGCTTTGCCGTCGACATTTTCAGAAACCTCACAGTTTACTGATGTTTATCAAATCATTTAGTCTCCTGTAACGATAAGTAGGCCTACCATTAAACAGTGTAACTATCAGATTAAGGTCAAGTATACTGTGACGACTCAATTAATACATCTTTGCATTAAAAACTACCAAAAATACACATGCATTCATCAAAACTAGGCTATATGACAATATTAACAAATAAATGTTGTATCTAATACAAATCATTTATATTAACTTTTTAGGCTATATCACCCAGCTTCAAGCTGAAATACATTCATATTGTAACTTTGAATCAAGCTAATTAAAGTCACTCACTTTAACTTAGCATTATTTCCATCATATACATGTGCAATATTATATGTTCAAACAATAAACAGACATATGCTTATTATATAACATTGTAATCACGTCACATATGTGTCACTAAAGCACAATATTAACTGACATGAGGGCCTAAAGGTGGCTCTTGTTTTGTTACCGGACCTGTCTCGTCTTGAGGAGGTTTTCAGACTTTGATTATGTTTCATGTTTCTTCATTTATGATTTTTATCCAACAACCACATCCATCTTTGGCAAGTTAATCTTCCAGCACATAAAACTATAACACATTTGATTTGTATACTACGACATGACAACATACTTGAAAAAGGTCCATCCTGCATGTACTTGTAGAGCCTCATCCTAACATGAGTGTGTGTTGTTGCAGGGTCGAGTGCCCGTCCTCCCGCAGGACAACCAGACAGGAAGGAGAGTCTCTGCCCGCCAGAGGAGGCCTGCAGTCTGCAGACAGTGTCCCTGCTGCAGGGACAACCAGGTGAGACATCTGATCCTCAACTCTGTTCCTTGAAATTGTACACAGTTTAATCCACAAGATTGTTTGACAGGTTTACAAAAAGGTAAACACATAGTGGAGTATATTGTCAATACTAAATAGTTTGAGAAGGTCCATTGTACAGGACTAATGCCCCAAATACTCACATTTCAAGTAATCCTCTGCATCTGATGTAGATGTTTCCTCTTGTAAAATGATAAAAGTATGTTGTTAAGTAAGAAGTTTACTAGAGTCTGACATCCTCTCGTGTTTTGCTGACCTTCTCCAGGTGCCACATACAAAGCGCCGGCGCCCTGCTGCTTCTGCAGACCTTCCCCAGAAAAGGAAGCAGACCTCCGCGGCTCTTCCTCCTAAACCTGCTGACCTGCCACCTGTCTCTAATGTGGCCTCCAGCCCCCGGACCTCCAATGCTCCCCTGCACCTCGAAGACCCTATCAGGATCCACAACCGCTCAGTCGAGGAGTACCAGCTCATCTACCATGAAGTTGTGGATAACATGCTGAGGTACGTTGCGTCACAAATGAGTCAGTTCATTTACAGAGTTTCCACTCTCTTAGAAATCTATCTCTCTATTTTCCTTCATCATAAAGATTTATTTTTGTGTTTCTCCTCTCAGGTTCCCGGACGGTCGCCTGCGTCCATATAGTTTGGGTCTGGGTCGTCGTATCAAGCAGAAGCTGTGGGAGCGACTGGACCGTCCGATGTTCACAGAGACAGTGGATGAAGACGGTCTGGTTCATGTGGACGTGTCCTACGGTGCTGGAGTCCAGCCTCCGCTCTACAACGTGGATGTTTCGGGTGAACCAGAGCCCGAATATCCACCAGCAAAAAGGGCAAAGCACTAAGACACACTCTCATAAGCTGACATGTCTAATAATACTGTAGCTTTAAGTTTAGTTTAGTTTTTTTTAAAGTATGGCAGATAAGTTTAAGTTTATTAAGTGTAGAGATACGTTTTTAGTGCCAAGCATAAGTATTATGTGCTAAGTCTTTAGTTTTAAGTATTTAGTAATAAGTATAAGTCTAAAGTGTTAAGAGTAAGTGTTTAGTTTAAGTTTTTAGTTATAGTAATTTGTTTGAAGTATTTCATATTAAGTGTTACGTTTTTAGTGCCAAGCACAAGTATTAAGTGTCAAGTCTTTAATTTTAAGTATTTAGTAATAAGTATAAAGTGTTAAGAGTAAGTGTTTAGTTTAAGTTTTCTGTTTAAGTACTAAGTTGAAGTATTAAGTATTAAGTATTTCAATTCAATTAAATTCAAAACCTTTATTTATACAGATAAAACCCATTGAGATCATAGACCTCTTTTACAATGGTGACCTGTTTCAATTAGTTCCAAACATTAATACAAACATGACAGAAAACAAAGGACATTATATGATACTACAGTTTGTATACTAGTAGCATTTACAGACACCAATATTTTCTGATTGTATAGCGTCTATCCTAGCTTTAAAAACATGAAATGGAATCAAACTGCTTAGCTTCCATTCCTTTTGTAGACTGTTCCATGCTAGCGGCGCTGCGCATCTAAAAGCTGTATTTCCTAATACAGTCCTAGCAGTTGGCACATGTAATACAACCACAGCTTTAGATCTCAGGCAGTAGCCATTTACAATACGCTGTGAGATCAGGGAACAGTATTTAGTGTTAAGAGTAAGTGTTTAGTTTAAGTTTTCTGTTTAAGTACTAAGTTGAAGTATTAAGTATTAAGTATTTAGTGTTTAGTTTAAGTATTTAGTAATAAGTTTAAGTATTTAGTATTAAGAATAAGTATTTAGTGTTAAGAGTTAGTATTTAGTTGAGTTAAGTTTACTTTCATTGATCTTAATGTATCTCACCACTGATGAATTGTCTTCCTCTGAATCAGTTCCTGCTCCTCTGTTAACAGTCTTCTTACTCCAGCTTCAGCCTCAACAGCAACAGTTATCACCTGCCAGAACACCTGCTCCACCCTCCAGCCTCCACCTGTTACTTCTACCAGACAAAACATCAGCCTTGAGCTGCAGCCTGTGAGATGACAGACTCCTCTCCACCTGCAGCCTCTGTCTCTCTGTTGCCTACATCCTCTACCAGCAGCTTCAGCATCAAACTGCTGCCTCACTCTTCACCTGCAGCCTCTGTCAGCAACCTGCAGCCATCTCCTCCAACTGCACATTCTGTTGAATAACTGATGGCTGAACCTCCATCTACAGCCTTTGCCAGTGCCTATACCTCTCGAAGTGAACTGCTATCCGAGCCTCCACCCACAGCCTCTGTCAGCAACCTGAGCTTCCGCCTCCACCTGCAGATTCCTACAGCCATCTGAAGACGACCACTGGGGGAGTGGTCGTCTTCAGATGAAGATCCCCACAGAAAGCTGTGGCCAAACCTCCACCTACAGCCTCTATAAGGAAACCTGCACAGATGTTATCCTACTGCCATGTGGAGACCTGAGCTGAACAGCAAGGACCAGAGAAACACACGCAGATATAGTCCTTCAGTTAATAAGCAAACATATTTCTGTGTTATTAAAGCTGGCTCTCTGTTTACATTCTGTTCACTTGTTCTTCTTCTCACAGGTGTTTTCAAACGTTGTGAAAGACTGAGCTCACACTCCTCAACATGAACCTGACTGACTGTGATGATGCCTTCATGAAACGAGAGAGCTCCACTGTACGTACAGTATAGCAGTATGAGATTTCTTAACAACACTCTGAGTGTATTGGGAAGTTTATTAAGTGTAGAGATACGTTTTTAGTGCCAAGCATAAGTATTATGTGCTAAGTCTTTAGTTTTAAGTATTTAGTAATAAGTATAAGTCTAAAGTGTTAAGAGTAAGTGTTTAGTTTAAGTTTTTAGTTATAGTAATTTGTTTGAAGTATTTCATATTAAGTGTTACGTTTTAGTGCCAAGCACAAGTATTAAGTGTCAAGTCTTTCATTTTAAGTATTTAGTAATAAGTATAAAGTGTTAAGAGTAAGTGTTTAGTTTAAGTTTTCTGTTTAAGTACTAAGTTGAAGTATTAAGTATTAAGTATTTAGTGTTAAGAGTAAGTATTTAGTAGTAAGTATAAGTATTTAGTGTTTAGTTTAAGTATTTAGTAATAAGTTTAAGTATTTAGTATTAAGAATAAGTATTTAGTGTTAAGAGTTAGTATTTAGTTGAGTTAAGTTTACTTTCATTGATCTTAATGTATCTCACCACTGATGAATTGTCTTCCTCTGAATCAGTTCCTGCTCCTCTGTTAACAGTCTTCTTACTCCAGCTTCAGCCTCAACAGCAACAGTTATCACCTGCCAGAACACCTGCTCCACCCTCCAGCCTCCACCTGTTACTTCTACCAGACAAAACATCAGCCTTGAGCTGCAGCCTGTGAGATGACAGACTCCTCTCCACCTGCAGCCTCTGTCTCTCTGTTGCCTACATCCTCTACCAGCAGCTTCAGCATCAAACTGCTGCCTCACTCTTCACCTGCAGCCTCTGTCAGCAACCTGCAGCCATCTCCTCCAACTGCACATTCTGTTGAATGGCTGATGGCTGAACCTCCATCTACAGCCTTTGCCAGTGCCTATACCTCTCGAAGTGAACTGCTATCCGAGCCTCCACCCACAGCCTCTGTCAGCAACCTGAGCTTCCGCCTCCACCTGCAGATTCCTACAGCCATCTGAAGACGACCACTGGGGGAGTGGTCGTCTTCAGATGAAGATCCCCACAGAAAGCTGTGGCCAAACCTCCACCTACAGCCTCTATAAGGAAACCTGCACAGATGTTATCCTACTGCCATGTGGAGACCTGAGCTGAACAGCAAGGACCAGAGAAACACACGCAGATATAGTCCTTCAGTTAATAAGCAAACATATTTCTGTGTTATTAAAGCTGGCTCTCTGTTTACATTCTGTTCACTTGTTCTTCTTCTCACAGGTGTTTTCAAACGTTGTGAAAGACTGAGCTCACACTCCTCAACATGAACCTGACTGACTGTGATGATGCCTTCATGAAACGAGAGAGCTCCACTGTACGTACAGTATAGCAGTATGAGATTTCTTAACAACACTCTGAGTGTATTGGGAAGTTTATTAAGTGTAGAGATACGTTTTTAGTGCCAAGCATAAGTATTATGTGCTAAGTCTTTAGTTTTAAGTATTTAGTAATAAGTATAAGTCTAAAGTGTTAAGAGTAAGTGTTTAGTTTAAGTTTTTAGTTATAGTAATTTGTTTGAAGTATTTCATATTAAGTGTTACGTTTTTAGTGCCAAGCACAAGTATTAAGTGTCAAGTCTTTCATTTTAAGTATTTAGTAATAAGTATAAAGTGTTAAGAGTAAGTGTTTAGTTTAAGTTTTCTGTTTAAGTACTAAGTTGAAGTATTAAGTATTAAGTATTTAGTGTTAAGAGTAAGTATTTAGTAGTAAGTATAAGTATTTAGTGTTTAGTTTAAGTATTTAGTAATAAGTTTAAGTATTTAGTATTAAGAATAAGTATTTAGTGTTAAGAGTTAGTATTTAGTTGAGTTAAGTTTACTTTCATTGATCTTAATGTATCTCACCACTGATGAATTGTCTTCCTCTGAATCAGTTCCTGCTCCTCTGTTAACAGTCTTCTTACTCCAGCTTCAGCCTCAACAGCAACAGCTATCACCTGCCAGAACACCTGCTCCACCCTCCAGCCTCCACCTGTTACTTCTACCAGACAAAACATCAGCCTTGAGCTGCAGCCTGTGAGATGACAGACTCCTCTCCACCTGCAGCCTCTGTCTCTCTGTTGCCTACATCCTCTACCAGCAGCTTCAGCATCAAACTGCTGCCTCACTCTTCACCTGCAGCCTCTGTCAGCAACCTGCAGCCATCTCCTCCAACTGCACATTCTGTTGAATGGCTGATGGCTGAACCTCCATCTACAGCCTTTGCCAGTGCCTATACCTCTCGAAGTGAACTGCTATCCGAGCCTCCACCCACAGCCTCTGTCAGCAACCTGAGCTTCCGCCTCCACCTGCAGATTCCTACAGCCATCTGAAGACGACCACTGGGGGAGTGGTCGTCTTCAGATGAAGATCCCCACAGAAAGCTGTGGCCAAACCTCCACCTACAGCCTCTATAAGGAAACCTGCACAGATGTTATCCTACTGCCATGTGGAGACCTGAGTGGAATAGCAAGGACCAGAGAAACACACGTAGATATAGTCCTTCAGTTAATATGCAAACATATTTCTGTGTTATTAAAGCTGGCTCTCTGTTTACATTCTGTTCACTTGTTCTTCTTCTCACAGGTGTTTTCAAACGTTGTGAAAGACTGAGCTCACACTCCTCAACATGAACCTGACTGACTGTGATGATGCCTTCATGAAACGAGAGAGCTCCGTATGAGATTTCTTAACAACACTCTGAGTGTATTGGGATTTTTAATGGAAGTTCGGTGATGAATTATATTTGAATGCAACACCTTACACTTCCAGATCTACCAGGAGCTGCTTCAGGGCCCTGAGGACAACTCCTTTTACAACAGCTCTGTTCCAGAGATGCTTCCTCCTCCTCCACATCCACCACCTTCACCACCCCTCCTGCTCATCGCCAGAACTAAGAGTGCCCCACCCCATCTCAGCAACCACCACCAGTTTCTCCTGCAGCCACCGCCTCCATATGTAGATTCTGACAGACACTGCTGACAGCCAAACCTCCTCCTACAGCTTCTGCCAGTGCACCTACGTCTACACCTCTTGAAGCCAACTGCGGCTGAACCTCCACCCACAGCCTCTGTCAGCAACCTGAACCAGCACCTACACCTCTCGTACACTACTGCCATCCAAACCTCCACCTGTAACCTTTGCCAGCCGCCTGAAGACACCTCCTCCACCTGAAGATCCCCACAGAAAGCTGGGGTCAAACCTCCACCTTCCGCCTCTATAAGGAAACCTGCACAGATGTTATCCTACTGCTATGGTTGGATCTAAGTGGAACAGCAACGACCAGAGAAACACTGGTAAATATGATCTTTGAGTAAACATGGGAAAATATATCTGTATAAAAATAGCATGCCTGGGCTGGGCTTCTGTTTATATTCTGTGCACTTCTTCTTCTTCTCACAGGTGTTTCCATACGTTGTGTGAAAGACTGAGCACACACTCCTCAACATGAACCTGACTGATTGTGATGATGCCTTCATGAAACAGAAAGAGCTCCTCTTCCTCCCACTTGTACGTAGAGTATAGCAGTATGAGACATTAAGTCATGGGATTTTTGATGGAAGTTTGCTGATGAATGCTATTTTAATGCAACACCTTTTCTTTGTGTTTCTCCAGGCCTTGTTGGACTTCCAGATCAAGAGATGCTTCCTCCTCCCTATCGTGCACGTTCACCACCCTTCCTGCTCATTGCCAGGACTAAAAATGCCCCTCCCCATCTCTGCAACCACCAGCACTTTCTACGCATGCCGATTCATTGAAGGCCAAAGATTGCAGAGACGCTCCACCCGAGACTTCAGTGCCTTACTTTTCCAACAACGCCCCCTAATACGACGTCCAATGTGCTCTTTTAAGCCTCTGCACTGTTTTACAATAAATTAACTATTGTCTGCAACCATCTGATCAGTAATTTGAGACCAGAATAATTTGTATAAAACAGATCCTAAGGATATGATTGTTTTTGTGTGTTTAAGTTGAAGTGTGTTCCTTTGTCATGGTATATTAATTATTAGTCGCCACTTATTTAGGGTTTATATTAATACATTAA